AGTATATCAGATGACCTGTACAGTATATCAGATGACCCTGTACAATATACCAGATGACCTGTGCAGTATACCAGATGACCCTGTACAGTATACCAAATGACTCTGTACAGTGTACTAGATGACCCTGTATAGTATACCAGTTGACCTATACAGTATACCAGTTGACTCTTACAGTATATCAGATGACCCTGTACAATATACCAGATGACCCTGTACAGTGTACCAGATAACCTGTGCAGTGTACTAGATGACCCTGTACAGTATACCAGATGACCTGTGCAGTATGCCAGATGACCTGTGCAGTATACCAGTTGACTCTGTACAGTATACCAGATGATCCTGTGCAGTATACCACATGACCCTGTACAGTACATCAGATGACCCTGTGCAGTATACCACATGACCCTGTACAGTATATCAGTTGACTCTGTACAGTACACCAGATGACCCTGTGCAGTATACCACATGACCCTGTACAGTATACCACATGACTCTGTACAGTATACCAGTTGACTCTGTACAGTACACCAGATGACCCTGTACAGTGTACCAGATGACCCTGTGCAGTATACCACATGACCCTGTACAGTATACCACATGACCCTGTACAGTATACCACATGACTCTGTACAGTATACCAGTTGACTCTGTACGGTGTACCAGATGACCTGTGCAGTAGACCAGATGACCAATATAGTATACAAGGTGACATTTGACAGCACAGGGTAGGGGAGGGGTTATCTGGCTCTTTTTGCGGATTTGCCTGTGTTAGTGGTTTCTACTGTCCCACCCCTTCTATTCACATGAGACCAAATTCCCTGATTTATGATCAGCTGACCATTCATTATAGAGTCTTTTATCAAAAATATCTTCAGTGCTTTTGGCCAGCCTTTTTTAAAAAAAAAAAAAAAGATAGCACTGGTTCTGAGTTCTGGACTTTGGATCAGCAAAGAGGAGGGGAGAGGTCCTGGTTCTGTTAGGAGGGAAGGCCTGTGTGTCCCCATCACCCAGATCCTGCCCAAAGTCCTGCTTTGCATTCCAGACCGGAGCCCCATGGCTGGCCACCTACCATCAGAAGAATCAGGGCCTTTGGGCCTAAAGAGAGGTGCAGAGCCTGACAGGTGTACAGGGTCCTGGGGCTCTGGGGGAGATACCAGCTGCTGTAGCACTGACTCCTCCTCCAGAGGCCTCAAAGAGCCTCCTCCTCCCCCCTCCCCCAGCCTCCACTCCAGGGCACCACTCCAGTTAGGAGTTAGGGCTCCAGGAGCCAGAGAGCAGAGGGGCAAGCACCTCGCAGGAGCTGGCAGGCCCCAAGTCCTTGCTACAGGTGTCCTAGGGGTGGAGAGGTCTGATCTGCTTTGTCTCCTGCTCTTCAATTATCAAATCAGGAGCCAATCTCCAAGGAAGAAATCCAAGATTACAAAGCTCATTTCCCTGGGATCTTCAGGGAAGCCTTCGATTGCTTGCAGGTATTCTTTGGCGTTGATGTGAAAAAAGTGGATCCCATTAATCACTGCTACTCCCTTGTCACTTCCGTGGGCCTCAGATACCAGGAGGAGCTGAATGAAGAGCACAGCCTGCCCAAGGTCCACCTCCTGACAATCACGCTAGGTGTGCTCTTCATCAAGGCACCCACTCTGCAGGGGAGGTCATCTGGGAAGCGCTGGGTGTTGTGGAGGTGTATCCTGGGAAGGAGCACTTCATCTGTGGGAAGACCCAGAAGCTCATCACCCCCAACTGAGAGCAGGAGAAACACCTGGAGTACCAGCAGGTGCTCACAGTGATCCTATGTGCTGTAAGTCCCTGTGGGGTCCAAGGACCCACACTGAAACCAGCAAGATGAAAGTCCTGCAGTGTGTGGCCACGTCTATAAGTGCAATCCCAGATCCTTCCCAGAACTGTATGTAGAGGTTTTGAGAGTCTCAAATGTGGAAGCCTGAAGTGGAATTGCCGCCAGAGCCATTTGGGGGATGCTAAGCTAGAGCCAGGGCTAATGCATGTTCTCTAGGCACATCAAGTAGCTTATATTGCCTGCTGTGAAATGATTTGTGTTCTTTTCTCTTTGTTTGAAGAGAGAAGTCTGCATTCTAAGTAATTTAGGAGTAGGATGCATTGGGGTAACAAACAGTGCATAATTTTTGTGTTTTTGTTCTATAAGGATGACTTGGAAATTTATCTTTGTTTCCTCTTGGTAATTTCTGAACATTGTTCATTTTAATAGAAGATTTTTTTTTTCAATTACGTACCTACGTGTATGAGTATTATTGATTGCCATGTATTTTTGCTTATCCATTTCATGAGTAAGAGTTTGCTGTTTTGTTCTACATACTGGGAAACTTTCCATCCTGTTTTGTCATTTGGAACAAGATGCTATGACACTGGGATAGGAATTTTCTTGGAAATGTGAAAGAAGTAGAAGAAAATTGATGGTTTAAAAAATAAAAGATAATTCTTCAAAAAAAAATGATAGCACTTTGAGTGGAATTTCCCACCATATCCAGCATATCTGGGTATATGAGATTATCCTGCAAGTGTTGCACAAAGCAGACTCACTTATACATTGTATTTATCTTGATAGAGAGCTGCCCCCCAAGACCATGATCCTTTAGTGATGCCCCTTTTTCTTCTTGAGAATGCTGCCTCACAGAGTGACCCAGAAGTTACCCCTGACAGATTACTTAAGAACTGTTTCTCTTTTTTCTAGAATCTTTGCAAGGAGTAGATGATGAAGACAAGATATTAATCATTGCATAAATGTTTAGAAGCTGAGAACCTTTGAGATCTCTGCTAATAAATTGATATGAAGTAGAGCCTTGAAAGATTATTTGAAGATTCCATTTCTTTGGAATAAGAGGATCATTTTCAGAGATTTTAAAAAGGTGTGCGTTGGGGAGTTTTTCTGGTCAAGGCTGTTCCATATAGGTTGCATTTCTGGGGTCAGATCTGTTGTGACATCTTCATGGTGCAGAACACTTAGCCAACTAAAAAGGCCCCAAAAAAACTGGCTTCTTGGTCCATGTCTACCAACTGCTCATTAGTTACAGAAACAAAAATTCTGTCATTTTGCTTAAGCTCAAATATTCCCCCTTGGTAGATGGAATAGAGTCCATACTCTGAATCTTTAGACCAGCAGCTATTTCTAGCGCTTTTCATCAACAGTATAGGGTCAGGATAACTTGTGTATTTGTAAATATATTGTACCATTTGTTTGTTTTTCCTTCTGTTCTCTTCTTTTGAAACTGTTCCTATAACTTCCTCAGGTTCCTGAAATCGAAAGTATGTTTGGGAATAGATGTAGTAAAACCCTGTTTCTTGGATGACCAGCTCTCCATTCCTCAAGAGCACACTGTTCAAGAATGAAAATCCTTTCCTCGATGACTCCCAGGAGTTTATTTTCTGGCCCAAAACCTTTTCATTTTTGGAGCCTGGATGAAGATTAGAGAAAAAGATTAACATAGAAGGGAGTTTGTAGCTAATCAAGTAATTTCCTAGCAGTTCTGCCTCGCAATCTTTATTCCTTCATGGAACTTCTGTCCTGAACCCCTTTCTCCCATTCTGCACTGGGAACTCAAGGGATAGCCTTGAGAAGGAAAGTGGAGAAATGTATCTGCTCCTGTTTCTGGAAGCCTAGCATTAGGGACTTCTTTCCACCTCTCTGGGACTCTTTGGGTCCCTCCTTAGTTTTCACAGATCTCCATGTCAAAGACAGCAACTAAGCAGAAAGTGTCTCTAGTCCAAAATAAGAGACCACAAGATTTGGCAAAGGAGCCCAGATTTAAAGATCCTTAGATCCTTGAATCTTTAGCCACTAAAGATTTTGAATGAAAAAGACCCCAATCAAAATATGATTTTCCTTTAACTTTGGGTCCATCTCCATGATTGGTGCAAATGTTAGCTTCTCAAGAGCTATCATACAAACTATCATATTTGTTGACAAATAGCAAACAGTAACATTACAATAATTATCTCACTTGTAGACAGAACATGTCAATCATTTATAAACCATCAGCTCAGGAATACCAGGGAGGCAATTGCCCAGAAAACAAAACAAACAAGCTCCCCCCTAAAATTTCTTAATTTATTGACATCTGAAATTTTTTAACTGAGATAAAACTCATCACAATAAAGATGACTTTATTGAGTACTTACAAAAACCCAGACATTTTACAAGTATTACTCTTAGTCTTTACTGTTTATGAGTTAAGAATTATCTCTACTTTATGTATTAAGAAATTTAAACTTGATTGGGTTAATCAATTTGCTGAAGCATATATAATTTGCTGAAAATTAAGTTCATGAATACATCCTAGAAAAGGTGCTGTATATTACCTCATTGCTAAATATCCCTATGGTCACCATTATAGTCCTCCCCTTCAGAAGCTGTGCACTGACACCAGTGCCTAGTCCACCCTTTAAAGCAATTGTAGAACTCTTTGTATGGAATGGCCATCAGAGTGGCTGTTGCACCAGGTGGGACAGTAAAGTTTGCAAACTTGCCACTGTATGCTTATGTTGGCAGCACTGTACAAACAACTCAGTAAGGTTTCTTAACCTTGGTATATCAGGGTCTTACAGCTGTATTCATGTTGACATGAGGTGGTCTAGCTGCATAGTGTTCATTATTGCTGTGTGGTTTTGTGTGCTGTACTGGAATATCAGGGTCTTACAGCTGTATTTGTGTTGACATGAGGTGGGGTCTTGCTGTGTAGTGTTCATTATTGTTGTGTGGTTTTTGTGTGTTGTACAATGACAACTCTGATGGTCATTCCTAAAGGAGAATTCCAAAATTGCTTTGAATGGTGGAGTAGGTACTGACATTGGTGTATAGCTTCCCAAGGGAGTACTTAGGAGGTGACCATAGTGATATTGAGCAATGAGGTACATATATGTAGCACTTTTTCTTTTCTTTCTTTCTTTCTTTCTTTCTTTCTTTCTTTCTTTCTTTCTTTCTTTTTTTTTTTTGAGACAGAGTCTCACCATGTTGCTCTCAGTAGAGTGCCATGGCATCACAGCTTACAGCAGCCTCAAACTCTTGGGCTTAAGTGATTTTCTTGCCTCAGCCTCCTACGTCACTGGGACTACAGGTGCCCACCACAATGCCTGGCTATTTTTGGTTGTTATAGTTGTCATTGTAGTTTTTTTAGCAGTCCCGGGCTGGGTTTGAACCTGCCAGCCCCATGTATGTGGCTGGCACCCCAGCCACTGAGCTATGGGTGCTGAACCTATATAGCACTTTTTCTAGGATGAGTTCATGAATTTAACTGTCAGATCTAATAAACAGCATTAGGAGTGCCCAGTAACTCACAGTGAAAGTAAATGATTTAGAACCTTTGAAAAGAACAAAGATTTGATGGAAGTGCAAAGAAGGAAAGTGTGAGATGATAGAAGAGAGAGAGAGAGGGAAATTCCTTTAAAGAAGAAGAAAAAAGCAAAACTTGAAGGCTGAGGACCTCAAAGACAAAGTTATCTCACTTTGTAATTGTTTTGAGGCCAGTTATACCATGGCAGTAATTGAAGTATTCATCTGTAATCTTGCTTCTGAAATCAATCTGAGGCCTTAGTCAGGTGCAGAAGCTCATTGTAATCCCAGCACTCTGGGAAGCCAAGGTGGGTGAACTGTTGGAGATCAGGACTTGAAGACCAATCTGAGCAAGAGTGAGACCCTGTCTCTACTAAAAATAGAAAAATTAGCTGGGTGTGATGGTGCACCCCCATAGTCTCAGCTACTCAGGGAGACTGAGGCAGGAGAATCGCTTGAGCCCAGGAGTGTGAGGTTACTGTGAGCTGTGATGATGCCACCAAACTATACCCAGGGCTACAGAGCAAGAGTCTATCTCAAAACAAAACAATAACAAAAAAAAAAAAATAACCAATCTGAGACCTGATTATCACTGAGTATTTTGTAGATAGCCATATAAACATTCAGGTAAATGTAAAAATAATAAATTATTTGAAACAATTGTTCCACTGTTTTCCTTTAAGTCACTTACCTAGGATAGGCAATGTGTTGCTTCTTCGTCTATTCCCAGTTATGTGAGCTGCAACTCTCTGAAAATGTCTTTCCCCTACTCGGGAAGGAATATTTCGTTGTCTTTCTAAAAGAGAAAGGACAATCATCAGCATTTGTCAAGGCTAGTTCTCAAGGACACTGCTGTCTGCAGCTGCTGTCAGTAAGGCACTATAGACACTCTGGGCTTCCAAAGTTGATTCTACAGGTTTTAATAGAAAATAGCCTATGTGTTAGTATGATAATCAGCCTACTTCAGTTTATGTTTAATTTGAAAAGTGCTTTAGATGGGGGAGAATAAGCAGTAACATGGATTATAATCTAACAGCATCTCAAAGAGAAGGCCCAAATCAAATAGGACAAAGTGAAGATTCTGGCCCCTGTTGCCCAAAATAAAATAAAAAAATAAATAACTTCAGACTTGTAATCCTCTTTATGAGTGATTTGACATGAGCAAATAACCACAAACTGGTAAATGTCCACTTTGAGTTATGTTTAGAAGCAATTTAGTAGTACCAGCTCCGTCATCTCAGTTACCTTTTCCTCTCTGCTGGTTGCTGCTGATTCTTGGGGAGCAGCAATAACAACAATTGTCCATAGATACTGCAACCCCCTCCCTCCCACACTAAAAAGTCAAGGAATGGACATAGAAGCCATGACACCCAGTGCACAAGCCTGTAAATCGCTGATTTACTGGATCATAATAAAAGGACATGATGTTTATTGCCCACAGTTTGAAGTATTTTGTGGCAAGCCTGAAAAAAATTCATATTTAACAAACTGTTCTCTTTTAAAAGCAGCTTAAAATTCCAAAGAGAGTTACATTCTTTCATCAGATAAGTGTTTCCAGGGACCAGGCGCTGGACTACCTCTACAAGGCAACAAACAGCAATCACTGATTCCACCGACTGAGCCCACAAGGAACTTACAGGCTTCTACAGAAGACAGGAATTAGACAGTGAAAATTTATTTGTGAAAACAGAAACAGTGACAAGTGTTCAGAGCCAGGAAAGAGTCCCATTTGTCAGAGAGCTGAGGTCAGGGGAGGCTTGGTGGGAGAACTGGTGCTGAAGCTTGCTTATTCCCTTACTCCAGCAAACCAAAGTGCCATCACGTTTGGGCCAGGAAATTTTTTAGAGATAAGGAGAAAGAATTACAAACAAGAAAATGCAAGAAACTGTTTGAGGCACAAGGATAAACATCTGAACAAGGTGAGGTGGGGCAGGTCGGCGCCTGTAGGGATGTAGAAAGGAGCTTCCAGAGAGCTGGAACAGCTCCCTGAAGGTGAAGTGCTCAAAGCTCTCCTGCCCTCGAGCCTGGGAGGAGTTCAGTTTCAGTTTCAGGCTTGAATGGGGAGCCAAACTGTAAGATTTGAAGGTTAGGCTAAGAGATTTGCACATTGTGGTTATGGAGAGACTGAGAGGTTTTGTTTAGGAAAGAGGAGAGATGCCTTGTTGTGCTTCAGGATGGCCTGAAGGGCAGGAAGCTGGCAGGCCAATTACCAGACTATCACAGTCAAGACTGAGAACTGGGGCTTTAATCTAGGCTGGTAGCAAAGGACACTGAAAAGAGGTGAAAAAAGTCCACAGGAGAAGAATGAACAGGAAATGAGGATCTCTTCCTTCCACCTAGTATTTGTTGTTACTTATTCAGGATGAAGGGGCATTTATGTGACACCAAAGACCAAGGCAGCATGGACACAAATAGTCAATTACTAGCTTTCAAGGTTGATCCATCTGTTTACCTTTAACCTTCACTGTTAAATAATTCATGACTGCTTTTAAATATTCAATAACTGAATCCAATTATAAATATTGTGAATTTGAGGTCATTGCAAGAATATGAACAGGAAAGCCTAAATTCAAAAGCAAATTTTAAAGAGAGGAAATTTCCTACTGGCTATAGCAAACAACTCTCAGAAAGGAAACTTGAAAATATATATATTTGAATATCATGAATACACCTTGCTATACAGAGTTGTACGCGACTTCTCTACCTTGCTGGGATAAACAAAAAGAAATATTATTCTACCACTGAAAACAATGCGTGCATCTACTGTAGACCATGCATCTGGTATGCATCCTACCAGCAGGTGGCAAGCTCCACATTTTGACTGTTAATTTCACTTTCCGGGAGATGAATGCTTAGATCCCTGTATTGATACTGTCTTTCATGTTTATAAAACATGTTTAATAAAGGAAAATGGGGGTTACCAAGTGATAACAAAGTTTGTTTGGTTTTTTTTTTTTGAGACACAGTCTCACTATGTTGTCCTTCGTAGACTGCCGTGGTGTCACAGATCATAGCAAGCGCAAACTCTTGGGGTTATGAGATCCTCTTGCCTCAGCCTCCCAAATAGCTGGGACTACAGGTGCCCACTACAACGCCCAGCTATTTTTTGTGTGTGTAGTTATCATTGTTGTCTAGCAGGCCCCAGATGGGTTCAAACCTGCCAGCCTCAGTGTATGTGGCCAGTGCCATAACCACAAAAAACAGTTTCTTCTCTGCCAAGCTGTTGTGCTCCAGGGCTATAAGTTTCTGGCATAAGTATTCAGGCCTGTACAGCTGTTAACATAGGAAAATGGGGATACGTGTTGAGCCAAATGTGAAGTAGCAAATTTAATTTAGTCATTTCATTCACTTATTCATTTATTACTTCCAAAAATACATATCAGGAATTTTCTGAGTAGAGAGAGAAGTGGCACAACATGGTAAATGCACTAACTATACCAAACTGTGCACTTTAAATCTATTCGTTGCATATTATGTGAATTTTACCTTGACAACACACATGCACACACAGACTGAGGGTGGTGTGGGTAAGGGCCAGGGGTCCCAGGGATAGAACCTGGGCTTGAGACACAGTCAGGTGCCAGGTACAGAGAGTGAGAGAAAGACACATTCTTGTCTTTGGAGACCTTTAGTCTAGCAGGGAAGCAGGCAGTACACAGATAAAAATAGGAGCATAACTACAGGAAGTGGACAAGGTGAGTATGATAACAGCAGCAGCAGAGGCAAGCTCTTTCTCAAGCTGCCAGAAGAGGCGATGATGAGGTGGGCGTGAAGGGCAAGGGAGGCCAGCAGGATGGCTGTGGGAGCTGGCCTGGGCAACCGCCTGGAGGATGTGGGTCCAGAGACCAGAGACACAGGCTGAGGCCAGTGGGTGAATGGAAAGACTATCAGGGAAGGGATGATGGAGCAAAGGGCATTTCTGTAACACAAGACCTGGAGCCCGGTGGTCACCAGGAGCAAAAAAGATGGGTAATTGTGCTTTATTTACAAGGCATCAGAAGGTTAAAAAAAAAATAGTGAGGAAATTGAATTGAAAGAAAAATTCATGTGGGAAAAACCAGATTAAGTTGAAATGAAATTCTGATTATAGGTGGGACACAGATTTGGTTCGGAGCTTTCTAGCTGCCAGCGCAAAGAAGGAAACAGAGGCAGCAAGCGGCTTGTCAGAGCAGGATGCAGGGAGGGGATAAGCTAGGAGAATGGGTTTAAATAGAAACAACAACAAAAACACTACCTTGAACTGTAGGGATGGTTTCCTCATAGGTTTTCAAAATCATCTGCAAATAGTATTGAATAGAGCTTGTTAATTTCCCTAAAAATGGAAACTGACTAGGTAATGCCTATGGCTTCCTTTGCTGATTCCTAACAGGAAATTTCTGTATATAGTATCAATGAGGGAAGCTTTCAGTTGGTCAAGCGCTGAGTTTATGAGGGGTGAGCAGGAGCGCGGTACATCCGGAGAAGCCTGGCCCTACATGACCACCGCGGACTGTCCTCTGCGTGGGCACGGTCTGCTCCTGGAGGGAGCCCCTAGATGGCCAGCCCTGCAGGTGCACGGAGTGCGGGTGTCACCTGCAGTGTTAGGTCAGCCTGTGGTCCCTGGGCCTCCACGTGGCAAGTGGTTATGGCAGAGTCATCCCGCACTTTCTGCGCTGGGATGTGTGTGAGGTTCGTGGGACAGAGCCCAGGGCGCACCTTCTCTCGGTCATGACTATGCAGACAGACAAAGCCCATCAGGTAGGACCAGTTTCTAAGAATGTGCCGGGCCATTTTCAACATAAAGTAGTTTACCAAGCTCCCGAGTCTATGCCAAACACCTAGCAACACCCCCATTACATACTACCCGACGGGAAAACCCGCACCAGAGGGCGACGAGAGCCCTTCCCACCAAACAGGAAGGACTCAGCTCCAGGCCAGCTCCTACACCCACCACTCAGCCGGGTCAGATGAGAATGCAGCTGTGTACGCAAATATTCTGTAAATAATGAGGCACTATTTATACCATCATTGTTTGAAAACATAGGAGAGGAATTCCCAGCATAGGGGGAGGCTGTGTTCTAGTCATGTTCTTAATTCCATTCTTTGGTGCTCGGCAGCAGTTTTTCTGGAGGAACCAGGTCACACTAGTGGTTAGGGAGTCAGTTTTTAACCCTGAGGGGAAAGCACTCTGGACCTCAGTTTCCCCGTGCCTGCTGATGAGGCCCCTACCTTTCTAACGAGCCACCTGATGCGCCAGCAGGGGCTGCTCACACTCTCTTCATCGCCAGGGTCCCAGGAGCTGTCATCTTCCTTCAGGAAACAAGCGATGCTGTCCTTGTACTTATCCTGCATCTGGGTAGAGACGGAATGGAAGGCAGTGTTATGCAGGTGCTTTAACTTGTCTTTTTTTTTTTAGAGAAGAGTCTCATTTTGTCATCCTCGGTAGAGTGCCATGGCGTCATAGCTCACAGCAACCTCCAGCTCTTGGGCTTAGGCGATTCTTTTGCCTCAACCTCCCAAGTAGCTGGGACTACAGGCGCCTGCCACAGGGCCTGTTTGGCTGGGGCTGGGTTCTAACCCTCCACCCTTGGTATATGGGACTGGCGCCCTACTCACTGAGCCACAGGTGCCACCCAGCTGCTTTAACTTTTGTTTAATCTGGAAGTTAGAATAACTGATGATAAGTTAAGGAAATTTTGGTGGTTTAGATAAGTTCATGCTTGAAATAAAAGTAAACATGCTGTCTCTTGCCTGCCTCCTGATTCTGATTTAAAGTGAATATTTACAGCAGTCAAATCATTGTCAGTAGTCTTCGTCAACAAGCCCTCGCTCTTGGAACTCTTCAGGCTGATAATTATTAATCAAAGAAAGCACACATGTTTGTTTCTTTTCCATTTGTGTGTGTGTGTGTGTGTGTGTATGTCAGAACAAGTGGGATTGGAGAGATGTTATTTCACTGTAAAAATCTGAGTTGCCCTTCTCTAGGGGAAATAAGTAAGAAGTTGCCATTTTTGTCTGTTCTTTGAATTTAGGATGCTACAACGCTTGAAAGAAGAATCAAGTTTAGCTATGGTCAACTCCTTCCTATAGAAAAATAATCTCATTTTAAGTCAAAATAGCTTTCTAAGAGATTCCAGCCAGAGTCACACGGCACTGTGTGCAGCAACATAACCCTTAGACATTTGATCAAAGTCCTTGAACATGCAAAGGACAAACCTGAGTTAATGAATTTCTGCACACTCTGACACAGAACATTTATTTATTTTAAAGCAAATGTTCCTTTATTTTCTTTCTTCCTCTTTTAAATCATAAGAGAAAAACATTCTCCTAGCAGAGTAGTTGGGGTGAAGCTGGGGCCACCTGAGTCCAGAAGTCCCTGGCAGGGGAGCCAGGCACCCCTTTCCCCTGCCCATCCCCTGTGCTCTGTAGCAGATGCCTGCTCGTATTACAGTTGCTTGGGAGCTGTAAAACCTTTCCAAGGAAGACATCTGGTCACATGTGGGTCAGAAATGTGAGAGGGTGGCCAGAAAACTGCAGGGCAGGATGAGCCGGAGACAGGAAGATCTGGAATGAGGCTCAGGCCTAAGGGTGGTTCCAGGAAGAGCCAGCGTTTCTTTGTCCCTGCCTAAGCCCAGTAAACGTTTTCTCCAGTCAGGCCTTGGTTTGGTTAAATGGAACTTGAAACTTGTTTGGGCAACAAGGTGTGCGTGACACAGAAAGGAAGGAGTAGCCAGAAGCGGTCCCAGCAGGCCAGGCTGAGAGCAAAGAATCTAACTAGACTCACAGCTGCCAGGTGGGGAGATTGGGGGTTGATAGGGCAGAGGCTGCACCGGAGCAGTGTGGCCAGCCCAAATACTGCTGGCTGGGGATTTTCCAGAAATACTTGCAGGAAGAGGGTGGGGGAGCTTTGAAAATCACAGCTCTGTAATTGCTCCAAAGCAATGGCCCTCTAAACACTCAGGGTACACAGGTAACCCTTGAAACATGTGCAAGTAAGGAACACTTTACTAAAAGTAAATAAACTCCAGAAACTAAGGAAAAAACAAAACCAAAAATGATGACTGAAGCACCCATAACCTCGCCTTGTGGTCAACCTCTGCATGGCCTCCCTTGTCGGCAGGGCAGCAGCAGATTGTGTGTACACTTTGTATGTGGTTCTCAGAAGACCTTGGCATGGTCTTCAACTCTGTGTGGAAGTCACATATGGTTAGCATAGGTGGTTTTATGATATTCACTGTTGAAAATGTATAAAATATAGAGGATAAAAACATATAAAATAAAAAGGATAAAGGACACCCACAATCTAGACCTCAGCTGCCATTTTGATATTTCATCTTCCAGACTTTTTAGGTAGAAATATTGATTCTGAATAATAAAAACCCAGAGAGGAAACCCCAACCACTCTCCACGCTCTCACATATTTCTTATTTTATTGTATTTGGCAGTTTTTTCCACAGACGTTGGCCAATGCTGGTGACCAGAGCCCTTGCAAGTTGGGGAAAGGGCAGTGGTCAGTCCAGGGGTGAGTAATGATGGTTAGTGTGGTGTGTCTCTTTCCTCCCCATCCTTTCCACTTCAAAGTACAGGTTTCCTGCAGCTCATGGTAGGCTGGGGCTACGCTCTAGCCAGCACCTGCTGCTGTGGGTAGAGGGCTGTACGTGCTATTTTCATTTGCACCTGGAAAGAAGAATCGATTCATGTGGGGACTTTTGGTTCAGCTCCCAAAGCCCTGGGTTCTGAAAAGTGGATTTCCATGGTTACTGCTCTTAGTGGTGTCACAAATATGGCAGTTGTCTAGGTCAGGGCCACCCAGTCCTTGGTGGAGTTGAGGTCCTCCTTTGGGGGCCCAGAGACTTCACTGTGGCAGTGCTGACCGTCTCTGCTTCACAGACACTAGGGCCTGGGTCTCCACCTCCCAGTATGTCAGACGCACAACGAACTCCACCCTCACTGCCCACAGGGGAATGAAGCTTGTGCTGCTTCAATCAACAAGGCTTTAGCAAGTAAGTATTAAGAATCAGTGGTCTGGGCCATGTGCTGCACCTCAGAGGTGTCACGTGCTGCAGTTAGCAAGGCAGACATAGCCCCTGCCCTGATGCAGCTGCCTTTACCCCCAAGAGCTCAAGAGTCAAGAATTGTAAGACATCTAGCAGAAAGCACTCGCAAATGGTTGCAACTGATAATATTATAAAATACATACACTTTTAAAAATAAACAAAAAAGCTCCCAAGAACTCATGAGTCAAGAATTGTAAAATTTTTAGCAGAAAGCACTCAAGAATGCTTGCAATTAAATAAATATTATAAAATACATATACTTTTAAAAACAAACAAAAAAAGCCCTCTGGAGTTTTGTTTTCTGCACCTGCTGGAAATAGCACTGGGTTTGCACAATCGTCACAGAGTCCCCAGCAATTGCACACTAGCAGTCAGAGCCCACCACCAGAGAAAGGGAGCGTTTTCCTCCACAACAAAGTCTTGGAGGACGAGCAAGCTGAGAAGCAAAGGAGAGGCTAACAGCCTCAGACCTCCTCCGGCACTGACCTGCTTTAGCTCGTTAGTGAAGTACATGTAGGTCACAGCCACACAGAGGGCCTGCAGCAGCACAGTGACGATCAGGATCAGAGCACAAGTCTGCCCGGCACTGGGGCTCCCGAGGGCCTGGGTCATGGCCATGGTCAGTAGGGCTGTGAGCTGGCTGTCCAGGCAGCTGGTTATGGGAGCCCTTATTTGTTTTTGCCACCAACATGAAAATGAAACTGAACAGTTGTTGTCAATTCAGTGCCTGAAAAATACCAGGAAGTCTGCCTGGGGCCACCCCCAGCCTGGGGCTGCGTCTGCCCTGACCTCTTAACTCTGTCTGCTCCACCCTCCCCAGCACTCTCTCTGCAGGACTATGCACACATGTGTCCATATATAAATATGCAAGTAAGAAAGCCATGTGCAAGTGGGGAGATGTTAGGTTTTACTTGAAATTTACATTTTTATAGCAGAATTTTAAAAGAAATTTGATTATATATATAGACAACTTCATGAGACAACTGAGAAAAGAACTAATTACTTCTGCCTTAAAATTAGATGAATCTGTGACATGTGCACATTGCTGGGGCACAGATAGCTGCCAGGGCACAAGTCCTGCTTCCTAAATTGTAACAGAATTTCTTTGACTTGAAACTTCCAATCTTGGTTTTTCTCATGCTACTATGAGGTGTGGGAAGAGGGTTGGGATGGAATTGGATGGAGGAGAGGAGAAATATCCCTTAGAGCAACAGTCTTGGTGCATAGTCCTGCTCTGAACATCAGGTGTCAATACTGATCTGTCTTCCTGTTTGCAAGTCTTCTGACACAAATTCTAATCTCCTCCCCCATCCGCACCCTTCCAAGGTAATGCACCTATTTGCCAGGCTGGAGGAAGGTAGAAGTTGGCATACTCAGAAAAGCAAAGGGGAAAAACACACTGATGTTTTTCAAACTGTTAACCCCATCACAGCATCTCACTGTTACCATCCCTCTTTCACAGACAGGAAAGAGGGCTCCGGGGAGTTAATTTGCCTGCCCAGGGTCACAGAGTTCGTTACCCTGGGATTCAGGACTGCTCCCCAGATGCCCCAGCTGTTAGGTATCTAAGCTGCTTTTCACTGCAGGGTAAACAGAAGCTGTTGCCACCAGTAATACTCATGAACATTTGTAAAATTTTTAAAAATTTATTTTGTATATAAGGATTAAATTACAAGGGCTGTAATCTTCAAAGCATTTGTAAGTTGGGGACAGATACCTTGTGTCACTTAAGAGGGCTCACCTGGTAGTAGTTGGCCATCTTTATTCTAGAAACTCAGTTGTCCCGAAACCTATGAGATTTCTAGCCTGAACCAGCAGCTGTTGAGTGGCGGCATGTGGACAGATGGGCAGAAGCACCTACACGTATTCAGTTTTATATCTAGTGTGATACAGAGGAGGAACAGGAAATGATTGGAGAAATTCAGAAAACTCTTTGCCACAACGTAATGTGGCTACAACAGCGAAGGGCTAGAGACATTTACCTGGATGGAAATTGATGCGAATCTTAGTTGTTCTATAACCCTGACAAAGTCACTTACCATTTGGTGCTTTAGTTTCTTTATCAGTCAAGCCATAGCGTTTTACATCTAGTGTGGTTAGGGCTAGGGTTGGGGTTGCAGGGGTCCTCAAACTTTTTAAACAGAGGGCCAGTTCACTGTACCTCAGACTGTTGGAGGGCTGGACTGTGGGCCCTGGGAAGAGTCGGCTGCTAAGCAGGACAGTCAGCAGTGGCAAAAACACCCAGCAGGCCAGATAAATGTCCTAGGCAGCCGCATATGGCCCATGGGCCATACTTTGAGGATGCCTGGGTTAGAGTGTCCAATCACTTTATGGTTCTGTCATTGTCTAGTCATTCAAAGATAATAGAAATTCATTTCTTTACTGGAAGGGAGTGTATCTGAGACCTCTTCTGGGGAGGTTTCAATAGCTGTGAAACAATTACACCATTGCCAGGTATTGGCTAACACTGTTTTTTTTTTTTTTTTTTTTTTTTTTTGGTGGAGGAGAAATAGAGGTAGGCAGGTTAAGTTGATATGGTAGATTTCGTTATTTTTCCCAATTCTTCATACCTCCCTCTATTCACACCCTTTGTAAGGTAGCTTTGCAGTTCATCTCAAAGTGTAAAAGGGGGTCTAACCATTAAGTTGGTGAACTCATCCTAGGTGCTTAGCCCAACCTCCAAAACAATTCTGGAATTCTTTTTTGGGGGATGACCACCAGAGCTGTCATATGGTACACAAAAATAATGAATGGCACTCAGCAAGAAAACACCACACATTGACCTAAACAGAGCCGTGAGACATTTATATACTAAGGTTATAAACCTTACTGAGTTTTTTGTACAGTGTTGCCAATATAAGCACATAGTGGGAAGTTCCAGACCTCATACAAGGACAACTCTGATGGCCATACCAGGAAAAGAGTTCCAAAATCGATTTGAAGGGTGGACCAGGTGCTGGCATCAATGCACAGCTTCCCAAGGAGAGTACTTCACAGGTGCCTGTAACGACATTGACATTCAGCAATGAGGTATGTAGCACTTCTGTAGGACAAGTTTGCAAACTTAATTGTCAGAGCTCGTCCATAGAGCACACGTATTTCTCTGCTTCACTGATGTTGAACTTCTTCATGTGATTTGGTCACCGGGGATCCCAATGGACCTAACAGGAGAAGGCTGGAGTTAAAATTGCACAATTGGTCTTGCCCAACTCTCTTGTTTTCACGAGAAAACAAGCCCTAGGTAGTTGAAAGGGAATGAGAGGTCAGTGGGGCTGATCTAGACCCAATCTACATTATGTAGCCAAGGTCAGCTGAACACAGCATAGATTGGCTGATTACCAGGCAACCCACAGACAAATGAGCAAGAATTAATAATTTAAGTAATTATTGCTTAAATCCACTGAGTTGTTGGTTTCAGGGGTAATAAATAAGTAAAGGCCTGGGTCTGGGGTTCATTTAAATATGTGCAGCTTCAACTAGCAGAGAACACTACTTAGGATGACTTCACCAAAATTTCAAATGGTATTTTCATGTCAGGCCACTGAAGACAATTCAGATAAACAGAAACAGAAAAAGTACTCGAAAAAGCATATTAGGTATTTCAAATCTTTGTGGGAGTTGCAGTTACCAGAAACTTAGATTTGGAGCTGTGATCCAGGAAACATTAACATCTGCCCACAAAGTCATTCTGGTAGCAATGTAACTGTCACCACCACAGGACACACACATCAGAGCTGTCCGGCAAGTACCGCCCACACCCACACTGGACATCAGATGCTGCTCTGAGAATCAGTGATACTGGCCAAACCCACCAGAACAGCATCTGCCCCAGCCCCTGCCGGTGCGTCAGGGCTTGGGAAGCTTCTGTTTCCTGTGCATTCTGTGCGTCTGACTGCAGAGCTGGGCTGTGTCATAGCTGGCTTCATGGAGAGACGAGAAGGTGGGCTCTGGTTTATGAGGTGGAGTGTCCCAGCATAGGAAGGAGGCTGTGTACTGACCAACCAAAGCAAAGATAGATGCCCACTTCAAACCACACAGGAAGTTATCTTCTCACTTCTGTGCACATCTAGACCAGGGCAGGCTTGACTCTGGAAATCAGTGTCACCCACAGTCAGGTCTTTCCTGCTCCCACTCTTCTTCCTCAGGTTGGCTTTGTCTTAAGACTGCTCACCTCAGAGTAAATGCCAGTGGAATCAGGGGGCTGCTTCCTGTCCACACCTAAAAGTGACGAGGACCACTTCCCTCACACGTCCTCAGCCCTCATCTTTTCTTATCAATTACAGTAAAATGTAAAGGATTTCATACGAGAGTTGTTTTAGGGTTATCCAAAGAGCCAGCACCATTTGTGTGTGTTGGGGGAGAGAGGGAAGGAAGAGGAGAAAGAGATTTATTTTGAAGGAATTGAATCATTCCTTCAAAGGGAAGAGGCAACATGGTAGCTCCAGTCCCGAAGGCCAAGGCTGACTGCTGGCAGGATCCTTCTTGATGTGTGAGAAAACTTATTTTACAATAGGCCAGTTGATATAAACCAGAGGTAAATTCCTACACATACAATATGTTGTTTCATTTAAAGTTTCAGTTTCCTCATTTGTATGAAACTGTGGGTGATTATATATTGGCAGCACAATGTACCCCATAAATGCATGAATGTACACAGTTATGATTTCATAGAAAAATAAAGTTTCAGTTTCCAAGAACCTGTGGATGATATTAAATGAGGACTTACTGTGTGAATGTGTGTGTATATGTAAATATATCTATATGTACACACACATTCTGGATATGAGTCCTTCATCAGAGCTCTTTATATTAAGTAATTTTCCAGGTTTGTGAGTAAACTCACAAACTTTGAACTATTTGTACTACGTTATTTACCTCTCCATTTATTTCTGTTTATAAAATTTCTTTTCTGCAATGTTTCGTTGCTAAAAGTTAGAAATCTTGCACATCTTTTGTTAAATTTATCCCTACATATTTTTATGCTGTTAGACATACTTAATTTCGATTTCTTTTTTAATTTAACATTTTATTCAATATATTTTGTCCAAAATACAATATCAACAAACAATATGAAAATTATATTGAGATATTTATATTCTTATGTTCATAGTGAGTCTTTAAATCCACTTTGTATTTGACCCTTACAGTTCATAATTTGGACTCACCAAGTATTGAATAGTTATGTGGCTGGAAGCTATTATATTGGACCACGGCTTTAACCTCTACTCTCCAAATCTGCTTGTTTCAATCTTTTTATACCCCACTGAAGAGAAGGATTCCCACTCTAGGTTATAAGAGACAGCACACACCACATCAGCAAATGAGATCACCAGGACAGTGTTAGTCATCTCTGTTCACAGAGCACACTGGTGCACAAGGGGGTTCCCCCTGGGGACAGAGTGAGCTACCAGAGGCTGTTGGAGGCAGCAACAGAGTGCAAGAGAGCAAAGTGTCCCCTAGTTCTCATGAAATGTTTTGCAAAAAAGCAAAGACTACTCTTGGGCCATTTGATCAAGATGACCTCTGGCTGGAAGGCCTTATCCACAGGATCAGAGAGGGAGAAGGACATGTGGTCAGGCCATTCAAGGTCCTCCACTTGTTTCAATATCTAGCACTTTAAATACAGAAATATAATTAATATGTAATATTGACACATCATATGCTGTGGCTTTAATAAACATATTAGTTCTAGTAGTTTTTAAAATTCT